CTATGGTGGGTCTAAGTAGTCTGAGGCAGGTAACCAAAGATGACAAATGCTCCACTAGTGGTGTAAAAGACATGTTGAAGAAAGCTCAAGACTAGAAAAGGAGATGGGCTGACCATGTGGTGAAAACCGGACAATATGGGAAACCAATGGGACAAATGGCGAGTAGGTATTTATACTGGCACAATTCAATAATCCATTGTTAGGCTGAGAACCTCTATCAAAGCAGACAACTCTGGACCTTGCCAAAGTTGCTGTGGTTGAAAAATACATTATCCTAAGGCCAATCGGGTGAGAAGTCTCTCCTCCAACAGTAGAACAGAGCAATGGATAGGGCACCGAACTTGGAGTTGGAAAGATGTGAGTTCAAATGTTACCTCAAGGTGTTACTAGCTGTGTGGTCCTAGGCAAGACATTTGACTCAGCCTCAGTTTTCTTGTCTGTAAAATGAGGAGGTTGGACTCATTCTCCTCTAGGATCTCCTTCAAGTTCTAAGTCTATGACCCTACGATCAATCAATCAACAAGCATTTATTAGCAGTATTCATGTTCCAGTGGCACAGCCATTGATACTAGGGCAGCCCTTTCACACAAGAAATAGCAGAGGGCATCTTTAGTTAAGGATTGAACACTGGTTACCCACAAGATATTAATGTAATGGGAAGAGTTCCAGATAACATTTATATAGCAATTTAAAGTTTACAAAGCTCTTTACATGTATTATCTCATTTGTTCTTTATTGTTGTGAGTAGGTGCTATTATTATCTCTGTTTTACAGATGAGGAAACTGAGGCTCAGAGAGATTATGTGACTTGCTGAGGGTCACAGAGTTAGTAAATATCTGAGGCAGGATTTTAATATTAGGTAGACTGTCAGCTGAGGATTTAAGTGAAAACATGGATAAGAATCTCACCAGAGACATTAATAAGGGCTTGGGATCTGTGTCAGGGGTGGGAGCATCACCACGGATAAAATCACAGATCCAAAGAAATGCCAAAGTCTCCTTAACTACAGAGAAATGACTTCTAGGTGGAGGCCACTAACAAAATGTACTTCTCTTTTCTCAACACCACCTTAAAGGCTCATTTTTCCAGGTTATGTGGCTGGAGCTGGGACTGGGAATTACTTCTCTTCCACTACCAAAGATATAACAAATATAGACTAGAGAGTGAGGGAGAAAGTAATATGCAACAGGTCAAGCTCCCTAGAAGGAAGACTGGAAGGGAAATTGTGTATAGTTTGGCACCAAAATGGCTCTGGAGAGAAAAGCTAATGGAGTTTCCATTGTTTGGGCCTTTGTCCAGAAGAACAGCCAAATTTATATGCTGTTTTAGTTTTCAAAGTTCTCCGCATGCATTATTTTATTTGGTCCTCAAAACAACCCTGCAAGGTGGGTAATACAATTATCTTCACCCCCATTTTACAGATGAGGAAACAGAGAGTGATGGAGGTAAAGTGACAAAAAATATAACACTCAACTCCAAGTCTCCTGATTCCAAACTTTTTTCATAATTTTGTAGCTGCCTCCTATCCATGAGACCGCTATAGGAACAGTTGAATAACTGAGAAGGAACTGATAGATGCAGGGGAAAGGTGGAAGGCTAGCACAGGGTAAAGCCCATTCAGAAAGGATTCCCAAAGCCTCCAAGGGATCAGCACAGGCAAAAAAACCAAAAAGCCAGCTCTCAACATGATATTTCTAAACCCAGGATTAGAGGAGAAACACACCTGCATTTTCCACAACATCTGTTGTGGAAAGAGAGCTTAGGTTACATTAAAGAAAGGCACGTGATGAGAGAGAGAGAGAGAGAGAACGTAAAAAAAAAAAATGGAAAAAACATAGAGACAGAGTCTCAAAAACATGGGAGGCATGTTTCCTGTCTTCTACCATACCCAAGATCATGTCAAGGACTGATATATTTTTGGAAGGATATTGATCAGCTTGATCAAGTCTAGAGGCTGTCAGCAAGGATGTTGAGGGGCCTCAAACCCATTAATCGGCCAAAGAAAATGAGGATGTTTAGTGTGACCAAAGGAAGATTTAAGGTGGATATGGCAGCTGCCTTCAAATACAAGGTTTGTCCTGTTGAAGAAGGTCCAGACTTGTCCTATTTGATTTCAGACTAGGAACAGGAGGAGGTGAAAGTTTCAGAGAGGCTGATTTAGACTCATTTAAAGGAAAAACTTCATAACATCTAGAGCTGTCCGAAAATGGAAAGGGATGATTTCTTGGAGGGTGCTGGGTCCCCCTCACTAGGTCTTAAAACACAGGCTGATAACCACTTAGTGGTATCATTATGATTCAGAATTTTTTTTTTTTTGGTGAGACAATTGGGTCACCAGAGTCACACAGCTAGTGAGTGTTCTGTGTTGAAGGCCGGATCCTGACTCCAGGTCCTCCTGACTCCAGGGCTGGTGCTCTATCCACTGTGCCATCCTGCTGCCCCGGTGTACCATTATGGAAGATATTCTTTTGTGGGTTCTGGGTAGACTAGTTGACCTCTAAGGTCACTTCTAATTCTGTGATATCTGGGGTGGCTGCAAACACTCCAAATGGATCTCCAAGAGGCTCTAACAAGGGACTTCTCAGAAGGAAAATGAAACAATGACAGGGAATTCATGAAGGCCTATGTAGGAACACGTAGACATCCAAGAAAACTAGAGACAAAGATTTCCCTATGATTTGGGTAACCGTTTTACAAAATCTAAGAACCCGATTCAAGGTGAATGGTGAATAAGTCAGGTTTGACTGAGGAAAACAGCTTCCTTCCCCTCTTTCTTTCTATGCCCTTTCCTCCCTGAAAAGTCCCCCCCCACACACACATACACCCCACTAAGGTATTAGGGCCTGAATGTTCCTCCTTCCAGAGGTATTTACCTTTTAAAAGAAAGAAAAAGGAATTGGGTTTACACTAAGGCAAGAGAGATCTGGTGGGACTTTCTCTCTCTCACCCTCTCCCCTTCTTTTTCTCTCCTCCCTCCCTCTCTCTCCTCTCCCCAACCCAATCTGCCTGGCATATTACAACTCTTTGAGGAATAGGTAAATGATAGCATGCCCTTTCTCCACCCTGGAAAGGAAGCCAGGATCACCTGAGTGGGCTGCGCCAGAGCCTTGGGCTCCTGGCTGCCTTTTCTGCTTTGTGTTTTCTTTCCTCAACACAAGCCAAAAAGCAATCCTGAGATGAATGTGTCTGGCCTTGGACGCAGCCCCTCAAGCTCAAGAGATTGGGAGTGACTAGCTTTCTCAATAGGAGCTAAGAATGTTTACATACATACATTTCCCATCTCTAGGTGCCTTTCAAATATCTCCAATTGCATGTCCAATAAATGTCTTAAACTGCATGTCAAAAAATGAACTCATATTCCCCCATAAACCCTATCCCTCTCCAAACTTCCCCATTACTGTTGAGGATACCCACATCCTCTCAGTCCCTCAGGCTCATAACCCAGGCATCACTCACCCTCCATGCCCAATCTCTTAGGCCTCTTGGTTTTACTTTTGCTATATCTCTTAAATGTGCCCCCTTCTCTCCTGACACTGCCGCCACTACTCTAGCTCAGGGCCTCATCACCTCACGCCTGGATTATTTTGTTAGCCAGCAGGTGGGTCAGCCTGCCACAAGTCTCCACCCACTCCAGTCTATCCTTCGGTCAGCCACCAAAGTGATTTTCCTAAAGCATAGGTCTGACCGTGTCACTCTCCTCTACTCAATAAACCCCAGCGGCTCCCTATTGCCTCTAAAACCAAATAAAAAATGCTATGTTTTGTGTTCAAATCCTGTCATAACCTAGATCCCTCCTACCTTTCCTGTCTTCTTAGTACCTCAGTCTCTGTCACATTCTCTTCAATCCTGACACTGGCCTCCAGGCTGTTTCACAAATAAGATGCTCTGTCTCTTGACTCGAGGCACTTTCTCTGGCTGTCCCCCATGCCTGCAAAGCTCTTCCTCTTCATTTCTGCCGACTGGCTTCCCTGACTTCCTTTAAGTCCCAACTAAAATCTCATTCTTTACAGAAAACCTTTCCCAATCCCTTTTAATTCTAGTGCTTTCACTCCGTTAATTATTTCCTATTGATCCTGTATATAGTTTGCTTTGTATGTATTTGTTTGCGTATTGTCTCTCCCATTAGATCGTGAGGGGAGAGATTGTTGTTTACCTCTTTTTATATGCCCGGAGATTAGCATAATTCCTGACACAGACAAAGTGCTTAATAAATATTTATTGACTGACTGGCACATATGTGTGTGTGCATAATTAGCATATGTATGTGTGTGTGTGTGTGTGTGTAAAAGGCTCAAATAATATAACATAAAGTGCTTCAAACTTAAAGACCTATATAAATTGAACTATTTTTATATGGTGAGTTAAGTACTTAAATATTATATATTATACATAATATGTAATATTATGTATATACGTACAGCTATGTTGTTTTTCCCTAGTAGAAGGCAAGCTTCTTGAGGGCAGCGTCTATTTTCATTTTTGTCTTAATTCCTCTAGTTCCTAGACCAGCTATTGTAAAACTACATATTCAATTGTAAGATAGAATTTAATTGAGAAATAGGAACTTACAGAAGACTTTAACAAAAGCCTGAGGACAAAGAAAAAGAAAGACCCCCTAGTAACAAGAGCTATAAAAGTTGTAATTTCTAACTTGGGCTCCTTGATGAGGGAAAAGGGAAAGGGCATTTTCAACCTGGATTCAAATTCTCAAGTCATATAAAATTGGCCCTTCAAGGCAAAAGGCATCACTGTGAGAATGGCCAGCCACTCCCCATGAATGGGGCCAACAGGAGGCTCCTGGAAGATACAGAATCAAGACCAGTGGGGAACCTTAGAGCGTCTCGTCTGGGTCAGCCCTTCACAAGGGCCTGATTTTGGAGCAGAGATAAAGAAATCCAAAAAACATTACTTGACTCCTAAGCCTGAGATGTGGTCATCTATCCCACACTCAACCCCAGTGGGCAACAGAAAGGTTTAACAGGACTTCAAAAGGACTTACTGTGCCCCTCCAACAGGGATGATAGACTCTTCAGCCTTCAAGAAGCTGGTAGAGAAGTCCCACAATCCTCTACAGGCTTCGGGCCCCTTGAACAGAGGCGTGTTGGGAAGCTCACTCGAGCTCCTCTCTCCCTTGTCCGGCAGCACTGGGTGGGTGTTCTTAAAGAAGCCCAAACTTCTGAGACTGATTATGTGCTGGGCGAACGCAAAGTTGGCAGAAGCATCTGGGTGCGTACAAGAGAATTTAGCCTCAGATTAGAAATGAACATGTGTGATAAAATAACTGAAGCCTGAGAATCCCAAAAAGATGACCTGACCACCCATGAAATAAATACCAGAGGCTACATCTTGCCAGTCACAGCACTCCCACATCTTATAAAAACACCGACGGGCATGGCTGATGCTGGTGCTTGAAGTAATTACTCTAGGCTAACAGCCCCTGGGCTATATCAATGCTATTGATTATTAACAAACTCAGGCACTCTAATGACTATAGGAACATAGAACTAGACCAGGGAGGGACCTCAAGAGGCCATGTCCTCCAATGTCTTTATTTTGCAAAAGAGAAAACTGAGGCCCAGGAAAGACCGGTGGTCACACCGGTAGTAAATGTCAGAGCTGGAATTTGAACCCAGGTCTAGGGATCCCAGAGTCAGAGCATACTGCTGCCACTTGTAACATCCAGCCAAGTTTAAATAGTATTGCTAAGTTGTTGTTATAAGGGCAGCTAGGTGGCACAGTGGATAGAACACCAGACCTGGAGTTCAAATTCAGGTTCAGACATTTACTAGCTGTGTGACCCTGGCCAAGGCACTTAACCCTGTTTGGCTCCATTTTCTCATCTGTAAAATAAGTTGGAGAAGGAAATGGCAAACCACTCCAATATCTTTGCCATGAAAACGCCCAACGGGGTCACAAAGAGTCTGACATGACTGAAACAACCAAACAATGTTAGTTCATTTGGTGATCTCATCCACTGCCGTGGATTCAATAATCACCTCTGCAGATGATTCTTAGATCTATTTATCCAGCCCTAACCTCTTTCCCGAGCTCCCGTCTTGCATCTTAAGATGAATCTTGCATCTCAAAACTGGATGGCCCTAGACACATTAAACTCAATGTGCCCACAACTAAACAAATTTTTGTCCCCCTGCCCACCTCAACCTTCTCATCTTCCTAAATTCCCTATTACTATCAAGGGTGCCCCTATCCTTTGAAACCCCTAGGCTCTAACCTAGGTGTAACCCTGTACTCCTCATTCTCTTACCCCCTATATCCAATCAGCTGCCAAGTTCTATTGTTTCTACTCTCATGATATCTCTCCTATTGCTCCCTTCCCTCTTCTGACACTTTCACCACCCTCTTATACCTCATGCCTGGACTTTCACAATAACTTGCTGATTGGTCTCCCTGCCTCAAGTCCCTCCTAGAAAGCATTTATTAAGGGCTTACTATGTGTCTGACACATAGAAAGGGTTAAACAAAGTTGGTAGAATTGAAACGAATTCAGATCCCTTCCTGCTACAAATTATGATTCTAGCTTTGAAAGAAAAGGGGAGAAAAGACAAAGAGATGTTTTTCTAGAGTCATTTGAAAGTTGTGCTACCAGGACCCAAGGGACCGGATGAGACAAATTCCCTCTACTCCTATGATTGTAATAAGGCACTCTTAAAACAAGCCTCCCCACCCCAGGAAAAAAAAAAAAAAGAGTGATCCCATTATTCTAAATCCTATTCAAAGTACTTATTCATATTGTGTTAGAGGGTTGGCTTCTTATAGCAGGTGGTGGTTTTGACACCGTTCTAACCTCCATAACATCAGGGAGTTTCTGTTCCTCTGTGTCATTTTTTTTCTCGTTTCCTTAAACAGAAGCTCTTTGATGGCCAGTACTTCCTGTTTATTGACTTGTTACCAAGCTGCTCCCCATCATCTCTGATATCACATCCTCTTCCGAAAGAGAACCTTACTTGTTCTTCCTTTTTTGGTCCTATGTGTGGGGATGACGGGGTATCTGCAGGTTCAGGCTGCATCCAAGCACTCCATCCTCTGCCCCATGGCATCTCTCAACACCCAGGGTAGCCTCTAAGCCAGGGGTGGGAAATCTGCAGCCGCACTTGAGGACCTAGAGGGCTACATGTAGTCTCGAGGCCGCAGGTTCTCCACCCCTGCCCTAAGCCCAAATGATGGGGCAAAGGGGGAGCATGGGAGAAGTGGGGGGAGCTGCCAGCACAAAAGGGACTCTTTGAGTGCATCAACAGTGCTGTTAGGATGTCATTCATTCAATAAACATTCATTAAATGCCTAATTAATATTCCAAGCACTGGGCTAAGGAACTGGGCATACAGACCCTTCCCTAAAAGAGCTCCAACTGAGGCGAAATAACATTTACAGAGATGAGTCAATTCAAAATATATACAAAGTGTCTACGAACTATTTTTTGGTGGTTGGGGAAGGCAATAACAACTAGGAAGGATAAGAAAAAAGGCTTCGAGCCCGAGATGACATTAGAGGTGAATTTTGAAGGCAGTTAAGAGACTGAAGGTGAGGAGGGAGGGCATTCCAGGCATGAGGGACACAGCTTTTACAAAAGCACAGAGGTGGGAAAGTCTTGTACTGGGAAAGGCAAGAAAGCCAGTCTGGCTGGAAAGTCGAATGCCTGAGGCAGAGTAATATGAGAGCAGTCCGGAAAAATTGGTTGGAGCCAGACTGTGAATAAGTTATCAATGTCTATCGAGAAGCAAGAGGCATGAGCACCTTGGGTAATAAAAACTGGTGACATTTACAAAGCACTTTAAAATTTGCAGAATACGTAAAGTTTATGTACATTATCTTATTTAAACAGTGATTTGGGGGCAGGGGGAGAAGAGGGGAAACAGGACCTTTTTGTTCGTAAAATGCAGGACCTAAACCCACGTATTCCTGACCGAGGCTGCCTCTCACCCACCAAAGGCATTAATATTCCCATTTTATAGATGAGGAAATGGAGGCTCTAAAAGGTAAAGTGATTTGCTCATAGTTGCATAGCTAATAATATTAATAATAATAAATAATAGCTTAAAATTTCTACAAAGCTTTAAGGCTTGCAAAGGGCTTTATGTGTATTTCCTCATTTGATTGTTGTCGAAACTGCCCTGTGAGGTAGATGCTATTATTATCTCACTTCACAGCTGTGGAAACAGGGTGAGAGAGGTTAAATGACTTACCCAGGCACACAGTTAGTGAATGTCTAAGGCAGAATTTGAACTCGGTCTCCCCGACTCTAATTCTGGCCACTAGCCATTGTGATACCCAGGTATTCCTGACTCCAAATCTAACAGGTTTTCTACCACACATGCAGAAATGAGCCTCAGAACTCTCTTGGGTAATTCATTCTCCCATCACAAATCTCATTCCCTTTAGAGAACAGGAGAAAGAAGTAGAAAAAAAAGTACACAGTAGAAAATAAGAACAAGACAGGGTTTGGGACCCAGGGCCCAGCTTCCCCTCCCAGTTCTACTCCTAACTTGCTGTGGGACCCAAGGCAGGTCAACCCTCAAATTAATCTGAAGGTCAAAGAAAGGGGTAAAATCCCAGGGCTGCCACTCCTCACTCCACCCTGGAAAAATTACGATCAAGCGGTACTCCAGAGGTGAAGTGTCTCACCTCTCTACTTGTCTCATAAATGTAAAGAGGGAGGGGGCAAGTGCACCGGATGTTAGATGTTGTCTTATTATAAGAGCAGGATTGAACCACCGCCCTGAGCTTCAAAGACCAGTGACTTGTACCTGTTCTCCAGAGTGATGACTAATATGGGAAAAGAGCCACCTTGGAATTTAAAGAATGTTTTCTTCAAAGAAGTTCGAAGAGCTTGACCTCGAATTGCTCTAACCAGAATCTCCGAACTTTTTACAGCAGCAAAACGGAGGCATGGGAGCAATAGCCTGATTCTCCCCAAGGTTACTCATGAGCTCGAGTCAGAACTCCAAACCCAGGTCTGTCTTCCCATCTGGTCCCATTCCACCAGCTTTTCAGGGTGCTAACTTAAGAAAAAGCTCAGAACATGTGGGAAGGACATAGGTTTATCAGGTCAAAAGATCACAAGTTCAGAACTGAAAGGAAGCAAAAGTCAAGTCCAATACTCTCATTTTACAGATAGGGAAACTGGAACCCAGAGAACTAAAGGAGCTTAGCAGAGGTCAATGAATCCACTAGCACTTTTAAGCACCTACTATGTGCCAGGCATTGTAAATACATAGACAAAAAAATGACACAGTCCCTAACCTTAAGGAATTTACATTCTTCTATTCAGGGAAACAACATATATCCATACAAGTATAAATACAATATATACAAGGTAATAGGAGGATGAGGGCAGCTAGGTGGCACAGTGGTTAGAGTACCTGGCCTGGAGTCAGGAAGACCTGAGCTCAAATCCAGTCTCAAACACTTACTAACTGTGTGACCCTGGAAAAGTCGCTTAACTGTGTGACCCTGGGAAAGTCGCTTAACCCTGTTTGCCTTAGTTCCCTCATCTATGAAATGAACTGGGGAAGGAAATGGCAGACCACTCCAGTATCTTTGCCAAGAAAACTCCAAACGGGGTCATGATGAAGAGTCAGACTTGGCTGAAAAAGGATTGAACAATAACAAAAAATAGAGCAGGGCAAGAGGAGAGTGAGGGAGAGGAGAAAAGACACTAGTATCTGGGGGGTGGGGAGAGGGAGCACAAAAGGCTAAATGTCGAAGTTGGCATTAGAGCTGAATTTTGAGGGAAATTTTTGGAGGTGGAGGCAAGCAGGGAGTGTATTCCTGGGATGGTGAAGAGACTGCAGAAAGACAAAGAAATAGAGTGTCATGTGTGAGAAATAGTAAAACCACGCAGGTAATAAGAGGTAGGAGGTAGGATTTGAACCCAAGTCCTCTGACTGTTTCTACTGTGAATAGGACATAGAGCATTTTATAAATGAAGAAACTGAGGCACAAAGAGATCCAGTGAAGTCTGCCTGAGCTGACAAGATCTAGAATGGCACAGTAGAAGGGGCACCGGACTCAGAGTTAAGTTGAAATCAAGGTTCTACCACTTCCTCATTGTGTGACCATGGGTAAATCATTTCATCTTGAGGGACCTCAGTTTCAAAATCATGGAAGGTCACAGTTGGAAGGGACTGAAAGAGTCATCTACTCCAACCCATATTCACGAAAGAGCCCCCTCCCCCACCACACATCCTTCGAGTGGTCTTCCATC